TGTATAATGGCCTTAGGCAAATTTAAGCAGGCTAAGAGATGCACTGGAACAGTACTCAACACAAACTGAATCATCAAGACCCTTCGCATGTTAGATAACATTCTGGCATACCACCCTTCCAATCTACTCCTAAACTTTCCCAAGATCTCTTCAAAATACCTGATCCTAGTACCCCCTCCAATAATAGGACAACCAGGATAGGTAAATGGACAGGTTTTTATGGGAATCCCTGCTGCAGAAAACAACTCATGTCTTCTACTAGCAGAAATATACTTGAACATGGAGCTTTTCTGGACACTCACCTTCTTTCCAGAACAAAACTCATAAATTCCCAAAAAAACTCATCAAATTCTGCAAAGACCTCTTATAACCCTTGGAAATATTAGGGTGTCATCTGCAAAAAGCAAATGACTTTCGAATGGAGCAAGGATTTGTATCTTATGCACACTTTTATTATGGGATTCATGAAGGAATGATTTTGAGGAAGAGGTTTGCTTTATGTGTTTCTTCGTAGACTCGCTTTCTGGTATTCTTAATTTCTTTTGGGTATCTTCTTTTCTAGAATCATGTCCAATAGGCTGACACTTGGGGCAACAGTCAAGGAGCTATGTTTAAGAGTGTCGTAAAGGCAATCCGTGTGATAATAGAATTCGGATGGAGCAAGGACCAGTCTCTTGCACACACTTTTTTCATGGGATTCTTGAAGAAATGATTTTGAGAAAGCAGGTTGGTTTATGTGTTTTTTCATAGACTCACTTTCTGGTATTTTTAATTTTATTTGCGTATCTTCTTTTCCAAAATCATTGTGTCAAATCATGTACTACAATTTTTAAGGTGGCTTCAATTGAGGAGGTCTATAGGCTTGTTACTATGAAATGAACTAGTTGATGCACGGTTGTGGGCAATTGATACCAAGTGAGGACTTTTGGCATTTGAATTGAGGTATTTTGGGAATTAGTCCACCTTGCATATGGGGAGCCAGAAATGCAGCCTAAAAGGTCTTGTTGAACCGATCATGCCTCATTAGGCTATTTGGATTGTTCATTGATTGTGTTGAGGTTAGTATTGAGTCTTTACCAAACACACTTTCTCTCATCCATTTTTATTTGTGTTCTATAATTTGATATGAACAATGCTTCATTCTTTGTGTAGGTTAGTGGTTTACAATGTTATGCACTAATAAACTGGTGTGTTCTCTAATATCCATCTGATTTGAGATTGGGCATAGTTTTCGCAGTTTGTTTCTCCCTCATTATGAGTTGAGGCCGTGAACAATGGTGTAGCCTTTTGTTGTTACAGATGCATTCAGTGATAAAATTTAACCTCTAGTTTTTTCCTAGGATATGCACACCTATACATGTACAGATAGTGTAATATCTGTATAAACTGTTGCATCTTTCCTATATTTTTATTTATTATAATGCACGATAATCTTTATGTGTGTATTTCTCTTTCTAGAACAGTTATTGAAGCTTGTTTATTCTCCATTTGACGGAAATAGAGAATGTGTGAAGAGCTCTTCAGTTCCTTGCTTGCTGGGATTTCCCTAGTTGGTGTCATTTGTGGACTGCTACTGCGTGTTCTGTTCATTCACTTTCATCCCCTTATGCAAAGTACATGTGGTCAGGTTCATTATTTGTCTACTCTGTGCTACCTTCGGCATTGGTGACACATTTTTTGTTTTGGACTTGGATTTGTGACACATTAAATAAAATGCTTTGGCAATTATGATTTTTTTCCTAATAGGAGCAGTCAAGGAGTTATGTTTGAGAGTGTCGTGAAGGCAAGCCGTGAAATAATAGAATTTGGATGCAGCAAGGACCGGTCTCTTGTGAACATTTTTATCATGGGATTCGTGAAGAAATGATTTTAAGAGGTTTGCTTTATGTGTTTCTTAATAGACTCACTTTATGATCTATATAATAAAGTAGCTAGATAGTTTGTCTTCAGCTTTTCGCAGTTTAGATCATTTGAGAATTATTGATCTAACGATCCTAATTAGACTTTCATTCCTTTTACAACTCTAAGTCCCCCATCTCTCATATAACTCTTTCTCTCACTCTATCTCATATGCCCAACTTTCATACATATATAACTCTTTCTCTCTCTCTCAGACATTTTAAACACACTCTCTCATCTCTCATTCTCTCTCTCTCTATATATATCATACTCTATCTTTTAATNAAAAAATAAAAAAAAATCAGAGCCAAGCTAATAACCAATAAAAAAATAATAAGTGATATCAATTGTACAAAAAAAACTAAAAAATTCAAAGTCAAGCTACTTACCAATATTAAAAATAATTGAAAATATATATATATATTCAAAACCAACTATAACATTTTTTTTCCCTTATTTGTATTACTTTCTCCTTGCTAATGTTCATATTTTTTTGAATACTTGAATAGTGCAAAATAGAAACCGAAACGACAAAAAGTCAATTAAATCAAATTTTTTTTAAGTGGTGAAATTTTGATTTTGTTGATTTAGTTTAATTGTAGCGTGAGAATATTTCTATAGAATCCAAGAAGTCACAGCAACAGAGAATTCAAATCAATTTTCTTCGCAACTACAAACAGATCCACTAGTATCAATTCAAATCGATTGAGTTTTTTTCTATTTTTTGGAAATTTGATTTGTAGTTCAATGTGGTTAATTTATTTGATTGGATTCAATGATTTAATTATGTGTTTTTAATGATATTCCTTATTAAAAGTAGACAACCTATTCATTAGATTTAGCCAGAAGTTTAAAAATGAACACTCATTTGGTGGAAAGAAGAGTCGTCATGAAAAAGTTTATGGCATGATAATTTTGTAATGGTGTTAATTTAAATTCATGGGGATTCTCAGATTGTATTAATGTGATATGATTCTTCTTCTTTTCAACCCTTGGACTTCTTTTATTTAAAATATTCTTGGATGCCCTATTTGCTATGGCAAATTTTTTTGTATTAAGAGTGCCTTCAGACACGGGTAATGACTAGTATTTTTATATGTCTTTTGGATATCTTCTTTTCCAGAATCATGTCCAATAGGCCGACACTTGAGGCAGCAGTCAAGGAGCTATATTTGAGAGTCTAGTGAAGGCAAGTCGTGAGATAATAGAATTTGGATGGAGCAAGGACCAGTCTCTAGCGCAAACTTTTATCATGGAATTGATGAAGAGGTTTGCTGTATCTGTTTCATTATAGACTCACTTTATGTTATTTTTAATTTCTTTTGGGCATTTTCTTTTTGAGTATCATGTGTGTGTCAAATCATGTACTACAATTTTTAAAGTGGCTTCAAATGAGGAGGTTTGTAGGCTTGTTACGATGTACTGATTGGTTGATGCATGTTTGTGGACAATTGATACCAAGCAAGGATTTTTGGCATTAGAATTGAAGTATTTTGGGTCTGCTTCAAAATTGGGCTACCTTGCGTATGGGGAGCCAGAAACACATCCTAAAAATGGTCCTGTTGAATCGATTATGGCTCAGAGGCTATTATTTGAATTTTTCATTGATTGTGTTGAGATTAGTATTGAGTCTTTACTAAACACACTCTCTCTTATCCATTTTTAATTGTGTCCCATAATTTGATATGAACAATGCTTCATTCNCTATTATTTGAATTTTTCATTGATTGTGTTGAGATTAGTATTGAGTCTTTACTAAACGCACTCTCTCTTATCCATTTTTAATTGTGTCCCATAATTTGATATGAACAATGCTTCATTGTTTGTGTAGGTTGGTGGTTCACAATGTTATGCACTAATAAGCTGGTATGTTCTCTGATGTCCATTTGATTTGTGATTGGGCATAGTTTTTGCAGTTTGTCTCCCCCATTATGAGTTAAGATCGTGAACAGTGGTGTATCCTTTGTTGTTACAGATGCATTCAGCGATAAAATTTAACCTATAGTTTTTTCCTAGAATATGCACACCTAGACATGTATAGATAGTGTAATATCTGTATAAATTCTTGCACCTTTTCCATATTTTCATTTACCATAATGCACGATAATCTTTATGTGTGTATTTCTATTTCTAGAACAGTAATTGAAGCATGTTTATTCTCCATCTGACAGAAATAGAGAATGTGTGAAGAGCTCTTCAATTCCTTGCTGGATTTCTCCGGTTGGTGTCATTTGTGGTGGAGTGCTACTGCGTGTTCTGCTCATTCACTTTCATCCCCTTTGTGCTAAGTACATGTGGTCAGGTTCATTATTTGTTTACTCTGTTACCTTTTGCAGTTGTAACACATTTTTTGTTTTGGACTTGGATCTGTGACACATTAAATAAAATGCTTCTGCAATTATGATTTTTTTCCCCAAAAGGAGCAGTCAAGGAGCTTTGTTTGAGAGTGTCATGAAGGCAAGTCGTGAGATAATAGAATTCAGATGGAGCAAGGACCGGTCTCTTGTGCACACTTTTATCATGGAATTCGTGAAGAAATGATTTTGAGGAATATGTTTGCTTTATGTGTTTCTTCATAGACTCACTTGCTGGTATTTTTAATTTCTTTTGGGTATCTTCTTTTTCAGAATCACGTCCAATAGGCTGACAATTGGGGCTGCAATCAAGGAGCTATGTTTGAGAGTGTTATGAAGGCAAGCCGTGCGATAATAGAGTTTGGATGGAGTAAGGACCGGTCTCTTGATCACTTTTATCATGGGATTCATGAAGAAATTATTTTGAGGAAGAGGTTTGCTTTATATCTTTATTTATAGACTCACTTTCTGGTATTTTTAATTTCTTTTGGGTATCTTTTTTTCCAGAATCATGTGTCAAATCATGTACTACATTTTTTAAGGTGGCTTCAAATGAGGAGGTCTGTAGGCTTGTTACTATGCACTGAACTGGTTGATGCATGGTTGTGGACATTTGATACCAAGCGAGGACTTTTGGCATTTGAATTGAGGTATTTTGGTCTGCTGCAAAATTAGGCCACCTTGCATATGGGGAGACAGAAACGCAGCCTAAAAGGGTCCTTTTGAACCGATCATGGCTCATAGGCTATGGCTTGGATTTTTCTTGATTGTGTTGAGGTTAGTATTGAGTCTTTACCAAACACACTCTCTTTCGTCCAATTTTATTTGTGTCCCATAATTTGATATGAACAATACTTCATTCTTTGTATAGGTTAGTGATTCACAATGTTTTGCACTAATTTGCTGGTGTTTGTTACAGATGCAGTTAGTGATAAAATTTAACCTCTAGTTTTTTCCTGGAATATGCACACTTGGACATGTATAGATAGTGTAATATCTGTATAAATTGTTGCATCTTTCTCATATTTTTTTTTATCTTTATGTGTATTTCTCTTTCTATAAGAGCAATTGAAGCATGTTTATTCTCCATCTGACAGAAATTGAGAATGTGTGAAGAGCTCTTCAGTTCCTTGCTTGCTGTGATTTCCCTGGTTGGTGTCATTTGCGGTGGACTGATACTGTGTGTTCTGCTCATTCATTTTCATCCCCTTGTGTTAAGTGCATATGGTCAGGTTCATTATTTGTTTATTCTGTGTTACCTTATGCATTTGTGACACATTTTTTGTTTTGGACTTGGATTTGTGACGCATTAAATAAAATGTCTCTGCAATTATGATTTTTTACCAGTAGGCTGACACTTGGGGCAACAGTCATGGAGCCATGTTCAAGAGTGTTNTTTGTTTTGGACTTGGATTTGTGACGCATTAAATAAAATGTCTCTGCAATTATGATTATTTCCCAGTAGGCTGACACTTGGGGCAACAGTCATGGAGCCATGTTCAAGAGTGTTGTGAATGCCAGCCGTGAGATAATAGAATTCGGACGGAGCAGTCTCTTCTGCACACTTTTATGATGGGATTCATGAAGAAATGATTTTGAGGAAGAGGTTTGCTTTATGTGTTTTTTCATAGACTTACTTTCTGGTATTTCTAATTTCTTTTGGGTATCTTTTTCAGAATCATGTCCAATAGCTAACAGTTGAGGCATCAGTTAAGGAGCTATGTTTGAGAGTTTCGTGAAGGCAAGTCCTGAGATAATAGAATTCAGATGGAGTAAGGACCGGTCTCTTGCGCACACTTTTGTGATGGGATTCATGAAGAAATGATTTTCAGGAAGAGGTTTGCTTTATGTGTTTCTTCGTAGATTCACTTTCTGGTATTTTTAATTTCATTTGGGTATCTTCTTTTCTAGAATCATGTGTCAAATCATGTACTACAATTTTTAAGTTGGCTTGTTACTANGCTTTATGTGTTTCTTCGTAGATTCACTTTCTGGTATTTTTAATTTCATTTGGGTATTTTCTTTTCTAGAATCATGTGTGTCAAATCATGTACTACAATTTTTAAGTTGGCTTGTTACTGTGCACTGAACTGGTTGATGCATGGTTGGACAATTGATACTAAGCGAGAACTTTTGCCAATGGAATTGAAGTATTTTGGACCTGCTGCAAAATTAGTCCACCTTGCATATGGGGAGCCAGAAACATAGCCTAAAAGGGTCCTGTTGGACCAATCATGGCTCATAGGCCTATGGCTTGGATTTTTCATTGATTGTGTTGAGGTTAGTATTGAGTCTTTTCCAAACACTCTCATCCATTTTTATTTGTGTCCCATAATTTGATATGTACCATGCTTCATTCTGTTTGTAGGTTAGTGCTTCACAATGTTATGCACTAATAAGCTGGTGAGTTCTCTGATGTCCATCCGATTTTTGATTAGGCATAGCTTTCGCAGTTTGTTTCTCCCTCTTTATGGGTTGAGGTCGTGAACAATGGTGTATCCTTTTGTTGTTACAGCAGCATTCCGTGATAAAATTTAACCTCTAGTTTTTTCCTAGAATATGCACGCTTAATACATGTATAGATAATGTAATATTTGTATAAATTGTTGCATCTTTCCCATATTTTTATTTACCATAATACACGATAATCTTTATGTGTGTATTTCTCTTTCTAGAACAGCAATGTAGCTTGTTTATTCTTCATCTGACAGAAATTGAGAATGTGTGAAGAGCTCTTTAGTTTCTTGCTTGCTGGGATTTCCCCCGTTGTTGTCATTTGTGGTGGAGTGCTGCTGGGTGTTCTGCTCATTCACTTTCATCCCCTTGTGCTAAGTACATGTGGTCAGGTTGGTTATTTGTTTACTGTTTTACCTTCTGCGTCTGTGACGTATTTTTTTGTTTTGGACTTGGATCTGTGACACATTAAATAAAATGTTTGAGAGTGTCGTGAAAGCAAGCCTTGAGATAATAGAATTCGGATGGAGCAAGGACCGGTCTCTTGTGCACACTTTTATCATGGGATTCATGAAGAAATGATTTTGAGGAAAAGGTTTGCTTTATGTGTTTCTTAATTGACTCACTTTCTGGTATTTTTAATTTCTTTTGGGTATCTTTTTTATCAGAATCATGTCCAATAGGCTGACATTGAATTGATGAAGAAATGATTTTGAGGAAGAGGTTTGCTTTATGTGTTTCTTCATAAACTCACTTTCTGATATTTTTAATTTCTTTTGGGTATCTTCTTTTCTAGAATCATGTCCAATAGTTGACACTTGGGGCAGCAGTTAAGGAGTTATGTTTGAAAGTATCGTGAAGGCAAGTCTTGAGATAATAGAATTCAGATGGAACAAGGACCAGTTTCTTGCACACACTATTATCATGGGATTCATGAAGAAATGATTTTGAGGAAGAGGTTTAATTTATGTGTTTATTCATAAACTCACTTTCTGGTATTTTTAATTTCATTTGGATATCTTCTTTTTTAGAATCATGTTTGTAAAATCATTTATGTGTCAAATCATGTATTACAATTTTTAAGGTGGCTTCAAATGAGGTCTGTAGGCTTGTTACTATTCACCGAACTGGTTGATGCATGGTTGTGGACAATTGATACCAAGCGAGGATTTTTGGCATTTGAATAATTGAATTGAGGTATTTTGGGCCTGCTGCAAAATTAGGCCACCTTGCATATGGGGAGGCAGAAACGCAGCCTACAATGGTCCTGTTGAACTGATCATGGCTCATATGCTATGGCTTGGATTTTTCTTTGATTGTGTTGAGGTTAGTATAGAGCCTTTACCAAGCACACACTCTCTCATCCATTTTTATTTGTGTCCCATAATTTGATATGAACAATGCTTCATTCTTTGTGTAGGTCAGTGCTTCACAATGCTATGCACTAATAAGTTGGTGTTTTCTTTGATGTCCATCAGATTTGTGGTTAGGCATAGCTTTCACTGTTTGTTTCTACCTCGTTATGAGTTGAGGTCGTGAATGGTGGTGTATCCTTTTGTTGTTACAGATGCTCTAGTTTTTTTTCTAGAATATGCACACCTAGACATGTATAGATAATGTAATATCTGTATACACTATTGCATCTTCCCTATATTTTTATTTATCATTGTGTGTGTATTTTTCTTTCTATTACTGTTATTGAAGCATGTTTATTCTCCATCTGACGGAAATTGAGAATGTGTGAAGAGCCCTTCAGTTTCATTATTTGTTTACTCTGTTACTTTCTGCATTTGTGACACATTAAATAAAATGTTTCTCTAATTATGATTTTTTTTCCCATTACGCTGACAATTGGGGCAGCAGGCAAGGAGCTATGTTTGAGAGTGTTGTGAAGGCAAGGCGTGAGATAATAGAATTCAGATGGAGCAAGGGACGGTCTCTTGTGCACACTTTTATCATGAGATTCATGAAGAAATGATTTTGAGGAAGATATTTGCTTTATGTGTTTCTTCATAGAGAGACATCAAATTGCAAACCCATATGATAATGCGTGCATGTGCATGTAGACTCTCTTTCTGGGCATACATGGTTGGGTCATATGCAGTGCATGCACCCTTTTATATGGGTTATATGGTCAATTTCTAACATATCAAAATTTTCCCCTAACTGGTATGCTTTGCTTTTCTCAATCAATACCGACGGTAATATTAGAGGAAATATTGTTGCTTTTACGCACATTCTGTTATTCAACCTTTTTCTTAAAAAGTTATTACTTCAGATTGTTCTGTGTTTGGTTTGCTGTTCTATACATATGGCTATGTNTAGAGGAAATATTGTTGCTTTTACGCACATTCTGTTATTCAACCTTTTTCTTAAAAACTTATTACTTCAGATTGTTCTGTGTTTGGTTTGCTGTTCTATACATATGGCTATGCAGATGTAAGTTTAATTGCGTATCGATTGTAAATTAAAGGTTACTTGTCATTACTAGTTCTGTTTCATTTAGAGGTGTCGTCAAAAAGTTGATTTAATTAATCGGTGGTGGAATTAATTACCTTATTTTCTCATGTTTGTGGTGGATAGGTTACCTTGTTTATTTGAAGAGGCAATGAATCAGGTGGAGGTTTCTGCAGTTTGCAAGAGTAATTTGCACATTCTAGTCTTTTGTCCACAAAGGATACTATCATTTTTTTTTTCTGGTGAACAGTGTAAAATTATTTATCTCAAATGGTTTAATTAATTGCTTTTTAAGAACAATTTATTTTAGGATCAACATGGATGGAAGATCTTTGACTAGCATCATGGATCATATTACTTTATGATTTGGTTTGGTACGATTTATCTTTTGAAATAGTTGTTTCTGCAAATTGTGATCCCTGTTCGTGGATCTCTTCACCAATCGTCTATTGGACAGAGCTTGTTAACCAAGGAAACCTGGAAATTTGCTGGAGTGGGACAGATTTTTTTGTGTCTCTTCATGGCTGAAATATGTTCAGATTTTGGTCCTACTGTGACGTTACGGTCCTATGTTGCTCCTCCTCTGGATCCATTTGTTTTTTGTAGTAATGTATTAGTTTCTTGCCCACAAGGAAAAGAGAAGCCAAATTAAGACAAGCTCAAAACACAGCTTTTTGGTAAGTACAATTTAATGGTGTGAAGAATTGTTCAAACCTTATTTGTGATCGTTGGTGCCCCTATGAAAATCATTTCTTAATATTTTTCTTACGTATCCTAGTTCTTCTCAATATTTTTTAGTATTCTACTTTTTCTTNGCACATTCTAGTCTTTTGTCCACAAAGGATACTATCATTTTTTTTTTCTGGTGAACAGTGTAAAATTATTTATCTCAAATGGTTTAATTAATTGCTTTTTAAGAACAATTTATTTTAGGATCAACATGGATGGAAGATCTTTGACTAGCATCATGGATCATATTACTTTATGATTTGGTTTGGTACGATTTATCTTTTGAAATAGTTGTTTCTGCAAATTGTGATCCCTGTTCGTGGATCTCTTCACCAATCGTCTATTGGACAGAGCTTGTTAACCAAGGAAACCTGGAAATTTGCTGGAGTGGGACAGATTTTTTTGTGTCTCTTCATGGCTGAAATATGTTCAGATTTTGGTCCTACTGTGACGTTACGGTCCTATGTTGCTCCTCCTCTGGATCCATTTGTTTTTTGTAGTAATGTATTAGTTTCTTGCCCACAAGGAAAAGAGAAGCCAAATTAAGACAAGCTCAAAACACAGCTTTTTGGTAAGTACAATTTAATGGTGTGAAGAATTGTTCAAACCTTATTTGTGATCGTTGGTGCCCCTATGAAAATCATTTCTTAATATTTTTCTTACGTATCCTAGTTCTTCTCAATATTTTTTAGTATTCTACTTTTTCTTCTTCTTCTTCATATTGTTCCGTTCATCTTTTTCTTCGTAATAGTTTTCTTCTCAGTTTTTCTTTTTCTTTTTCTTAGTATTCTTCTTCTTCTTCCAAGTATTCTACTCTTTTTTTTTTTCGTATTTTTCTTTTTCTTCTTGTTCTTGTTTTTCTTTCTTTTGTTTTCTTCTTTTTCTTGGTCTTCTAAGTAGTAATTATTTTTAGTGTTGTTATTCTTGTTCTTTCTTTTGTTTTTGTTTTTCGTAATATTCTTCTTCTAAGTTTTATTTTTCTTCTTCTCAACTCTTATTATTCTTCTTTTTCTCAATATTGTTGTTCTTTTTCCTCGCCTTCTTAATATTGTTTTTTTTAATGTCTTTCTTCTGCTTAGTACTCTTTGTTTTCTTCTCAGTACTTTTGTTCATCTTCTCAGTATTCCTCCTCATTTTTGTGTTTTTATTCATCTTTTTAGTTTTGTACTTCTTCTAAGCATTCTTCTTCTTCTTCTAAGTAGTAGTCTCCTCAATAGTCTTCTATATTCTTCTTGAATTCAGTATTCTTTTTCTTCAATTCAATATTCTACTTCTTAGGATTCTCAATATTCTTTTTTTTAATAGTATTCATTTTTTTCTTCTCACTATTCCCCCTCTTGTTCTAGGTATTCTTTTTCCCCCCCAAGTCTTCTCACAATTTTTTTTTTCGTCTTCTTTTTTCTGGTTCTCAGATTTTTTTTCTTTAATAGTATTCTTCTTTTTCTTTTCCTTCTCAATATTCTTCTTCTTAGTATTCTTATGCGTTTCAATATTCTTCTGTATTTTCTTAGTATTTGTTAGCATCCTTCATTTACTTTTTCTTTTTTCAGTATTCTTCTTTTTCTTCTTCTTTGTCTTCTGAGTATTCTTCTTATCTCCAATCTAATTCTTCCTCATATTTTCAGCATTCTTCTATTTTTTTTCTTAGTTTTCTTCATCTCAATATTCTTTTTCTTATCAGTATTCCTCTTCTTTTCTTCTCACTATTATTCTTCTTTTTTTTGTTTTTGCTTCTTTTTCTTCTTCGTTGCCCTCTTCTTTTTCTTAATCTTCTTAGTAATTTTCTCAATTTCTTCTTCCCTTCAATATTCTCCTTATTTTTTCTTAGCATTGTCCTTCGTACTCGTCTTCTTTTTCTTCTTTTCGACATTCTTCTCTTGTTCATTTTCTTGATATTCATTTATTCTTTTTCTTCTTCCTTTGAGTATTCTTCTTTGTCTTCCTTTTGTTCATTACTCTTTTTCTTCTTCATCTTTTTTTTTTTTCGATATTCTTCTCTTGCTCAATAGTATTCTTCTTCTGATCAGCATTTTTCTCCTTCTTTATATGAGGATTCTTCTTCTTAGGTTTTTTCTCATTTTCTTATATTCAGCATTCTTCTTTTTTGTTCTCTGTATTCTTCTTATTCTTTGTTCAATATTCTTTTTGGTTCTTTTTTTAAGTAATCTTTTCTTCTTAATATTCTTCGTAGTATTCTTTTTCCTTGTATTTTTTTTCTTCGTCTTTTTCTCAGTATTCTTTTTCTTTCGAGTGTTTATCTTCTTCTGTTTTTGGTTTTTCAGTATTTTTCTTAAGCATCTAGGTTCTTCTCAGTATTCTACTTTTTCTCAATGTCATTCTTCATCTTTTTCTTTATAATAGTTTTCTTCTCAATTTTTCATTTTCTTATTATTCTTCTTCTACTGTTATTTTTCCGTATTCTTCTTCTTGTTCTTTTTCTGTCTTTTGTTTTCTTCTTTTTCTTGGTCTTCTTGGAACTAATAATTTTTAGTATTGTTCTTCTTGTTCTTTCTTTTGTTTTCTTTTTCTTAGTATTCTTTTTCTAAGTACTTTTTTCCTTCTCAACTCTTACTTTGTCGTTGTCTTCTTTTTAGTAGTCTTTTTCTCAATATTGTTGTTCTTTTTTCTCGCCTTATTAGTATTCTTGTTCTCAGTACTCTTTTTCATCTTCTCAGCACTCTTGTTCATCTTCTCAGTATTCCTCCTCTTTTTTGTTTTCTTATTCAACGTCTCCATGTTCTCCTTCTTTTAAGCATTCTTCTTCCAAGTAGTCTTCTCCTCGGTAGTCATCTATATTCTTCTTCTTGGATTTAGTATTCATCTTCTTCTTCTTCAATTCAATATTCTACTTATATTTTTCCTTTAGGATTCTCAATATTCTTCTTCTTTTTAGGAACATCCTTTTTTTTTTTTTTTTCCTTTTCTTCTGTTTCTCAGTATTCTTGTTTCCCAAGTCTTCTCAGAATTTTTTTCTTGGATTTTTTCCTTTAGTATTCTTCTTTTTCTTCTCCTTCTCACTTTTCTTCTTCTTAGTAGTATTCTTTTTCCTTTTTCTCTGTATTCAATTCTTCTTAGTATTTGTTAGTATCCTTCTTTTTCTTCTTCCTTTTCATTATTCTTCTTTGTCTTGTCAGTATTCTTCTTATATCTGATCTACTTTTTTGTCATCTTCTCAGCATTCTATTTCTCTTTCTCAATTTTCTTGTTTTTCTTTATCTCATTTTTCATCATCTCAATATTCTTTTTATTCTTGGTATTCTTCTTCTTCTTCTCATTATCATTCCTCTTTTTCTTATTCTTCTTG